ATTATTTCCATTTCCAATTTGTTCATTCTTTAATTGAATAGTAACTCCAACTTTCTTTTTATATGCTGAAGAGATGTATTGTAAGATAATAAAAATATTTTAAACAATATTAACTTCTCATTTATTCAATAAAAAAAAAAAATTTGTGTTCTTATCGGTCACCACGCTCAAAAAGTGTAACTTGAATTAATATCAAAGAAAAAACTTGAATAAATATCAATGAAAAAAAAAAATACTGCAAAAATAAAATAAATAAATAATTATAAGGGTATCTTGTTGATTAGAGTTATAATTATTGAAATTGTCATTTTAATTTTTTTGTCCGATATCAACAAAACTTTTTTTTGATGGGCTTTTAAGATATCCTGACAAAATATGTTAGAATTAAGATTCAATTTTTAAAACCTACTATGCGTTAAAGATGAAAATTTACCTAGCAATTCTATTTATTAAAAAACAACTACACTGAATTTGAAAGCCTTTAAAACGGTCTAAAAATTAAATTTGATGCAATTGAATTATTATAATTGAATATTTTTAATTCCTTTTATGATAAATTGATAATTGCAACAACTTTTAAAAAACTAAAGTAATTAGTAATTTGCATAATTTTTTGGTTGCCTAGTAATTTGTAATTGGTACTTCAATTACTTTGCAATGGTAGTTATGACAGCTCTGCATCCGACACCTATAACTTAGGTCCTGAACTAAAATTCAATATGGACGCAGCAATTTTATCAGTTTTACATAAAATCGTAATTTCTGCACAGTTTAAAAAGTACGCAATATTGATTATTAAAATTTGGGAAGAATATTCAAAAAAAAATATGTAGAATGTGGTGAAGGTTTTTGAACTGCATCTATAATTATTATTTTTTTATATTTTTTAGTAATTAGCAGGACAAATGAAAATGTTTCATTCAATCATTACACATTTTACTATGAGCTGTCAAAGTTTCACTATAATCCATCCAGTGAAAGATATGTTCTGTAAATAATTGTAAACCTCTGTTTTGATCAAGTAAAATACACTGAAATGGCGGCCTTAATACAATTCGTTTCTAATTTTGTACCATTGAGGAACTGTATTAAATTACCGTCTGATTCAGTTACTTTTGTAATCATTCTGAACACAGTAAAAAGTTTTATTATGTTGGATCAAAACTAATAACAATCCTAAATTACTTTCCATTTTAAGAGTATATTTCTATTTTTATTTCAAATTCGGTATATTTTAATGAACTTTTTTTTTTTTCGTGAGAGGTTTTTCGCAATGGAAACAAAAACAATGTGTTCGTCCAAACATAAAGAATTTTAATAACATCAATTTCAACTACATCGTATAATTTTGTATTAAACTCGGAATAACCTCGTTCATTCAAACGTATAACAATATTACTGAGCTAATTTTCACCATTCCGGACCACCATATGCCCGACGACGAGTTTTGTTGTAGACATTTTACACGTAATTGGTTTTTATCACTTTGCCCTAATTCCGTGGGTCATCTGTTTTTTCGGTTAAATTACAACTTTGCACTGTGCGCTGTTAAAATAAAATTTGGAACTCACCGTACGTATCTCGTCTAACTGATATTGATAGTTATCGATAAATTTTAAAATTAAAATTTTCTTTCTGCATTATTTTTTTGATACTGTAGTCTGGATAAAAAAAGGAGTGCAGTAAAAATGGGGATATAACGTCATATTCCATAGGCGTACTTTGTAAAATAAGTTTTTTTAAGGTCACTGCATATAAAATAATCACGTCATAGATCAAATTTTAAATGAAAAAAGTTATATTATTTAGAAAAATTAAAAATAAACCTTGTGACAAAATTGTTGCACTTTAATATTAAACGAATTAAATTTTACCAATGAATAACCAATAAATAACCAATAAATAACCAATAAATAACCAATAAATAACCAATAAATAACCAATAAATAACCAATAAATAACCAATAAATAACCAATAAATAACCAATAAATAACCAATAAATAACCAATAAATAACCAATAAATAACCAATAAATAACCAATAAATAATCAATAAATAACCAATAAATAACCAATAAATAAATAACCAATAAATAACCAATAAATAACCAATAAATAACCAATAAATAACCAATAAATAACCAATAAATAAACAATAAATAACCAATAAATAACCAATAAATAACCAATAAATAACCAATAAATAACCAATAAATAACCAATAAATAACCAATAAATAACCAGTAAATAACCAATAAATAACCAATAAATAACCAATAAATAACCAATAAATAACCAATACATAACCAATAAATAATGGGATTAAACTTTTTTAATATTTTGCCATTAAAAGTAACACTTCCTAAATTAAAGATGAGAAAAAAAAGTTCAAAAACTATCTTTAAAAGTCTCCATCTTCCCTATAACTACTGGTATCATTATTATTGGTTTTCCTGATGTTTATTATTATAGGGTCTTTTAAGTTTTTCTTTGCTATATCGATGGCCTAGAAGCAATAACACGTAACTACATCTTCCAAAATTTGTGGTTATGAAGAAAAACCGTTATAATATTATTGTATAAATATATTATTTATTAATCAACTGTTTCAAAAAGTTACATACAATATCATGTATGGCATTTTTACTGTCTTGGTCCTTGAATCCTTTTTTCAATTTTTTTTTAAAGCACTTATATGTTATTGCTTTTATTTACAGATTTTGTACTTACAAGGTATTGCTTCTAGGCAATCGATATTCTCTTTCCAAAATTAATTTTCCTTCTTTTAACATGATCAATGCATTTTCTGCAATGTTTTTCATTTACATTTGAAACTACCTTTTAAAACAAATTTCGCACATTAAGTAATTTAAATGTTGTATTGTTTCTGGAAATATAACCTTTTATTTGTGACCAGATTAGTTCAATGGATCAAAACTCTATTAAAAAATTGCAAGAAATCATCAATATCTTGCCAAACATTGTAGAAACAGAATCAAAACAAATAACTCTAATTGATTACTACACGAAAGATATAAAATCCGAAGAAAAAGTTAAAGAAGCAGCTATCGTAGAAATATCAGCAGCAAAAAAGCAAAAAAAACGACCTCCCAAAGGTAGAAGATTATAAGAAAAACTGCACCACACCTAGACCAAGAATAAATTCAAGTAGTTCCCAAAGAACTGCAAGGGTAAGTTGAGAAACTTAAAAATTCTGAAATGAAAATTAAAACAACAAAAAATGAACGAAAACGGAAGGCTCGGACCGAGAATAACATATGGTATAATATTTTGCTGTCCTGGAAGAATTGCTGCTTCAGGAAATGCCAAACTATTATCTTCTATTTTTTTCCATAACAGTTTTTGAAGACTCCTCCATCGGAAATACGTTCCTGACATCCAATATCCGCAAATACAAAATTATAATTTGCATCTACTAATGCAAACAAGACAATACTAAAAAATTATTTGTAATTGAAGTATTCACTGCCGCTACCTACAGGAGCCTGCAAAACTACATGTTTTCCATCTATTGCACCTAGGCAGTGTGGAAAATTCCACTGCTGATCAAACTCACTCGAAATTTCTAACCATTTATCTGCGGTAGACGGCATCTGTAACAAATCAATGAATAAATGCCACTTATTCAAACAGAAAATTTGATTCATAAAGTATCATTGTTTTTATTCTAGGGTTCAAATATTGGAAATGACATTGAAGCCGTAAGCGATGATGAATCAGAGGCGGACGTTTCAAAAAAAGCAGAATCCACAAACAATGTAACTGTAACTGCGGATTTGGAAGAAGACTTAACGCTGAAACAAAATACCAAAGAGACGCCAACTCGCAAACGAAAACTATTTACATCTCCAAGGAAACAAATATTAAAAAAAAGTGTGCAGCAGAAAGATCCGAGAGTAGCTGCTGCATATGACATTCTTAAAAATGTTTCAAATACTCCAAAGGATGAATGTTTTACTTTTGGTCAACATATTGCCAGCAAACTACAAAAATTTGATAACAGAGTTCACTCTATTGCGATGCATCTAATGAACAATATTATTTTTGACGCTGAGATGGGGAAATATAATAACTACCAGCATTCATCCGTTGAGACACACTGTCAAACAAGAATACCAAATAAAGATGCATCATCACGATCATCATATGCTCAGGAACATGTTCATACTCCATCACCGAGTTATTCTGATCAAACTTATCAATCGGATCAGTCGCAGACACAAACTCCTTTGCAAAATTATATATATTCTTTCGATGTTAACAATTAAGCGTATTCAGTATTGTGCTATTCTGCGTGTCGTTACATTTTCTGTAACCTCTGTAACATTTTTATTAGTAAAAATGTGAAGTTGCAGAGTTTGCATGATTAAAAATAAAATGTTTTCTTACCTTAATGTAGTCTTTTAATGCTTCTGTCAATGCCTTACAAACTTCAATAATTATTGTAGAGATACTTTGCTTAGATATTTTAAAAGTATACATTAAGCTGGTATATGAGTCTCCAGTGGCTAAAACCCGAAGCACCAGAGCTAGTCTTTCCTTGATAGGGATAGCCAACCTAAAATTGGTATTTTCTTTTTGAATTTTAGGACCAATAAGATTTAGTATCATCTTAAAATCACTAGAAGATAAACGGCAGAAATTCTTAAATTGTCCAGTATCTTCAATTGCTAGGTCACACAGCAAATCACTTCCACTGTATATATTTCTACTATGAAATTTCCAGTAACGTCTCTTCACTCTTCTCTTTTTTTTTGTTAATGTATCACATAAAATGATAAAAGCAGCAGCTGCAATTTTAGAATCGTCGTTCATGCTGAAGTAATCACGTCGCGTACTGCAAAACTGGAACCTCGGCAAACACGATCATTTTTAATAAATGTTGCGGCAGTTTAGACGTTTAACGCGCAAACTGTGTGTGAACATTCGCGAACGTTCGCGAACGTTTTGCGCGGTATTGCGCTGCGGTCTGGACGGACCTTCAGAGGTTGGCATGTTAACGATAGTCAACAAATCTACGGCGCAACCATCGGATCGACACGTGGGTGTACCAAACTTAAGTTTGTTTTACTCTATAATACCATGTACAGTTCATCAAATTTCTAGAGGTGTTTGACGCCCAGACAGAGAACGCGCTACGTGTGACTAAGATAGCTTTTGTACAGTCTGCTAAACAAGTTATTTTAAATAGTTTTTAATATTTTTAGGTAATTAAATTTTAAAAGTGTGGAATAGTTTAGGGATTAAATTGGTCTGATTGGGCTTTCTTAGAACGTTTTTAAAAGCAGCTAAAGATAGTATGTAGAATTAAAAATAATTATTATGCCATAAAAGGTGTTTTGGAATTCCTTCAGCCTTTTGAAATTGAGTCAGAAAATATAAATTTTATAGGATAGCGGAAAATACCTATAATTTTTTTGTAGGCCTTTGTAAATCGTGGAAATAGTTTATATTTTATTTCTACCTTATTAAGGAAAATAGTACCTATTATTAATAACGGTTGTTTCTGAAACATTACTAAAATTTTCGAAATTTTGTTTTTCTACAAAATAATAAACTATACTATTTAGAAAAAAATTTATTTCTCTTATAATTTTATAAAAAATAACAGGGAAATATTTACATTTCTTGATCTATTAAACAAAACGATAAATTATCTCGATGAATGACACCATGTTCTAGTACGGAAGCTAGCTTTGCATTTTTGTTGGTGGTTTCATGGGTTTCATATCAATTTTTTGTAATTGTAGTTTACACGTACATATACCTCTTAACACTTGTTTGCTTTATTAAAAAAGTGTGTTGTTGTGATTTACGTCGAAATAAGTCAAAAACAACTTGAAACCCCATATAAAATCAAAAAGGAGAAACGGAAAAAAATTGAGCCTGTAAATGAACACAACTCAGAAACAAAAATAGCTATCTAATAATAAAAAAATAAAATTTGATTCTTGTGCAGCTTCATCTATATCATTAACTGTTTTTGGTTTTTTAATGGTTTTTCTTGGTGATGAAAATTCCGATATCTCACGGTTATCGATTCTTTTTTTCTCTCCAGAAATGTTTTTAGATACTCCTGTGGCTGCAGCAACACGATCATTTACATTTTTAAATGGTATTGAAGGTGAATTAAAGTTTCCTTCTCTTCTCATAAACTCTATAACATTGGCTATTATTTCGCGAGATTGACTGTTAATCACGCGGCCTCTTAATTTGCTATTAAACTCCATACTTAGGTTCTATTAAACTGTAATGAGCAAAAAACAAACGAAAATAAAAGAAATGTTTTAGCGAAATTTACATCTGACATTTACGTCTGAATGAAATAGTGAAATACTTGATGCGCAGAGTGTACTTTCATTGCGTAAATCCGTCGGGATGCCTGTCAGTAGTGCTTTCTCTGTCTAGCCGTCGAAAGCCTCTAGAAATTTGATGAACTGTACATTTCCAAATCTTCCTTTACACTTGTATTACAACAATAAAAAAAAATCTTTTAACTGTGCTTTATTTTACTCTTCAATATTGGTTCAATTAAAAAAAAAAATTTTTCACGAAATTGTACTTATTAAATTTCAGTATTTTAGAAACCTTTTCGAATTTGGTCATACATTTTTAAATCAAATCAAAATAATTTACATTTTTTTAACAATTTTTTAAGACCCGCCTAAATAAAGTTTGTGTGCGGAATTTTTATATTAGTTTTTTTTTACGTTTTATAAATGCTGTTTAAATTATATCTAAGTATATACTATAGAAACAAAAACAAAGAATTTAGAATTTTAAAATACAACAAAAAACAGAAAAAGATAGATAAATATGGAAATACAAAAATCAAAACAATTAAAAAAATAAAAATTAGCAGAAATTATAAAAATAGCAAAAATAATAAAAATTATAAAAATATAAAATACAAGACTAATAAAGAAAACAAAAAGAAAGGCTACTCTCTGATACTGAAGAATATGTAATTATGTAGCATGAAATTAATATAAAACATTAAATATTTCCTTCTTAATTTTACTGTAGTTTTTCTGTACAAATATTTTAAGTTCATTTTTTAAAGATCGCTCATTTGTAATATTTTTTATGTATTTAGGAATTAGGTTATATATTTTGGGGCCAAAATACGAGATAAAGTTTTGGGTGTGCATTTTTTAAAAAGAGGAATTGGCATATGCTTATTTAGTAGAGCTCTTGTGGAAGCAGTGTGTGAAAGCTTAGAAAGTTTTTTAGTATTAAAAATTGCCCATAAAGATGTTTGGTAAATATATAGTTGTTTAATATTAAAAATGACTAATTCTTTATATAATAGGTTTGTTGGATATCTAAGGTCCTTTCTGAACAATATTTTTAACAACGTATTCTGTGTCGAGTCCAGCCCATCGAGAGCGTTGTCTAGAAGCCCACCCCATATTAGAATGCCATATCTTAGCAGCGACTCAGCCAAGGCATTATAAATAAGTAGTAGGAGTTCTTTTCTAAGAATATCTCGAATTTGATAAAATAAATATATAAGTTTTCTTAATCTTTTGTTTAAAAAAATGACATGTTCGTTCCATCTCAGATGTTGATCAACCATTAACCCCAAATATTTTATTTTATTTTCTTTTTGTATCGTTACACGGAAAAAAAATTGTAGAACAAATTTCTACAATTGTAGATTTTTTCTCTACAATAAATAGTACATATAGGGACAGGGACAATTTGTAGTAAAAATTTCCAAATATTTGTGGAGAATGTATTGTAGAGTTATTATCTACAATATTTAGTAAAAAGATCCAAATGCATCATAAGAATTGTTCTACAAATTGTTATAATTTTTGCTATTCATTGTATGAATTTATATTAAAAATGTATTGCGTTTTATGAAAATAAATACGAAAATTTTACACAATAAATAGTAAAAATTCATACAAATTGTAGTAACTTTTAATAAAATTTGTAGTAGTATTCCATAATTATTATAATTATAACCTAGAAAAAAATGTTCCTTAATAAAATATTCAATTTATTGTTTTAATATAAAAGATACAAATTCTTAATTACATTATGTAATAAATAACAGTAATAATAGCGCCATCAGTCTCAGTTGGCTTTTCTGCACCTGAAAAATATGAAATAAAAATTAATACCAATTGTTGTTCATACCCTTAAAACGAGGATATTTATCACCTTTACACTGATTTGGACATTAAATGACTAAGTCAGATAACTAACAAAAATGAGAAAGTAGGTATGTCACAATTAAGACAAAAAAAAACATCATTGAGCTTGGCACAAAATTCGATCGTTGGGCACAACATTCGATCGTTGGCCACAACTATTTTTTTTAAATAATATACTAAGGTTATTTAAATTAGTTATCTAAAGGTAAATTATTCAGAAACATTAATAAATGTACTTACCACCAATAGAATTTATTATTAAAATTTTCTCAAACGCATCGGTACTTATAATATAATAATGTGTTATAGGTACTCGTATATGTACCATGCTTTGTTATGTGAACATGGCGAACGGCTACTGCTGTCTGGCCGTTTATGATCGACGTCAGAAAACGTTGGCCAATAGCAGAATTCTGTTTTGTTCACATGACTTAGAATTTCTACAATATTATAGAATATTTTTGAAGAAGGGATGTAAAGTATTACTAGTTTTTGTAGAGAAAATTACTATTTTTTATAGAAATAATTATTAATATTTGTACAAATTTTTACAGAAGTTAGTAGTAGTAATTACGATAATTGTAATAAATTTCTACTTCTACAAACAATAGTAAAATATACTAAACATTGTGGACTTCTTTCCTATTGTTGTAGCATTTTATTCGACAATTCAATTGCTACAATAATTAATAGTTTTTAACTATAAATTGTAGTAAAATTTTCTACAAATTGTTAAGTATTTTTCTACAAGTCTACTACTACAACTTTGTAGTAAAATTTTCTAGTCACATTTTTTTCCGTGTACACACTGACAAATCGGTCCTTTATTGCAGTTATGATTGTGAAGCTTTAAAATCTGTTGATTTGGTTGATCAGCATTTGTTAGTGAAAATGTAATAAATTTTCTTTTGGAGACATTGAGACTCAGAAGACTATTATCAAGCCACATCTTTATCTTACTCAAACCATCCTCAGCTTTTAGAAAGACTTCTTTCCAGCTCTCCCCCTTATAGGTAATGACAGTATCATCTGCATAAGAAATAATTTTTCCTATATTTTTAATATTATAAATACAGTTAATATATATTAAAAAAAGAATTGGGCCAAGTACCGTTCCCTGAGGCACGCCTCTACAAACGGTCATTGGGTCACTAAGTAAGCTACCAATTCTAACGAACTGGGTTCGCTGTGATAGATAGTCCCTGAAAAGGTCCAACGTTAATCCTCTTATACCTATTATTTCTAATATTTCCAACAATCTGTGATCAACAGTGTCAAATGCCTTGGCTAAGTCTAAGAATATCGCTAGGCATTTTTTATTGTTGTCAATACCATTAATATTTTGCACAAAGTCTAGAAGCGCATCTTGACAGAAAAGATTTTTCCTAAAACCATATTGATTTGTACTTAATATTATGTTTTGTTCAATAAATTCAACTAACCTTTTTTTTAAACATTACTCAAAAAGTTTTGAAATATTATTTATGACTGATATAAGCCTGTAAGTTAGTGGCTAGTTCTTTTTTTCCTGATTTATAGACGGGTGTTATTACAGATTCTTTAAATGATATTGGTATTTTGCCAGTGGTTAATATTTGGTTGAAAATGTGTGCTAACGGGTTTACGATGTAAGGGTGTATATTTTTAATTGTAGTTACCGATAATCCATCCAGGCCACATACCTAATTTGTATTTTATATGAATAAAATTAAATAATTTATCAATTAAAACATGCAAGACTTATTTAGAAATAAATTCAACAGTAAGTTCTGGGCTTTATTTGGCTATAAGTTTATTTTTATTAAGTTGAAAAAATTATGTTTAATTCCC